CTGGTCCCTTGTAGGAAAAACTTTTAAAAGGCACTATAAGTATGAAAAGATTTAGATTCTTGATACTTGTAGGAGTAGTATAAAAATATACAGTTCAAGTTTATCCAAAAATGAATATTAAATAGGTGAAATTTTTGGATACTATTTGCACCTCAATAACACTTTTAAAAATAACAAACCTGTTTTGTTCTTTATCTTTATTTTGAACTTCTTTTGGTATAAGTGTTATTGTCATGTGACATAAAAAGAAATAATTTGTCACAAATATAAAATTTAAAACTTTTTAATTAATTTTTATTTAGAGAGATTTTTGCTATAGGGATGTGTTCTTGCCAGAGGAGGGATAGCCATGCAATAATCCTTTTTCCTCCATTCTCCTCTTGGAATTTGAGGCATGCATGCACACACCACTGGAATGAGTAATAAGCTTCCAGGTCTGAGATTTGAACCACAGTAAACTACATGAGTCCAGTGACAAAAATTATGTCATCTGTGGTTCTCAAACTTTTAAATTATAAAGAGGTTTTTATTTCTGGTGGGCAAGTAAACTTCCCAGAGAGAAATAGAGAGAATGTGAGAGATGAGAGAAGAAGTGCCCCCATGGGGAATGAGCTGCAATCTCTTCTTCATTTCTCCTTTCTTTTGGGATTTTGGAAATGCATGCATGCACACGTACCTGGCATGTTTTTGAAGCCTCAAGGTTTTGGACTAGGGCCATGTGGAATTTAGCTGCCTTATTCAATAGACCATAGGTCCATCCCACCAAAGATTTAGTGTTTGAAGAATTATTTATTTAATTTTATCTATTATCATTACTTTTTTTTTGAGAAGTTTTTGCTACACGTGCGCTCGTCAGACAGACAGAGAGAGTCAGAGAAACAGAAAGTGAGAAATCACCCCCCGGGGGGATGGCCACGCCACAATTCCTTTTTCTCCATTGTTCTCTTGGGATCATGGGCAAGCATGCACATGTGCTTGATGTGAGTTTAAGCCACTGGGTCTGGAACTCAAACAGCAGTCGACTATGTGGGAGTTCAGTGACATAGCCATTACACTAACTGCTGGTCTCTATTATCATTATTCCTAATTTGCAATAGGGCATTGGTGCTGATGAGAGATAGACAGAGAGAGAGAGAGAGAGAGAGAGAAAGAGAGAGAGAAAGACAATGAGAAATCAAGCTGTCAGGTCCAGGACTCAAACCACTCGGTCATGTGGGAGTTTAGAGATTTAACCACCATACCACTTGTAGGCCTCACTAAGAAGATTTTTAATAAAACATATTAGACTTTTATTTTCAAATTTATGACATTCTTTTGCAGAAAATAATTAACTTTTATTGTTTATACAACTGTTCTTTCAGTCTTTACATTTTTTTTGAGAGGTTTTTGCTATAGGTGCATGCACTCATGAAAAGACAGAGAGAGACAGAGGAAAAAAATTGAGAAATCATCCCCCAAGGGGGATGCCACCCCACAATCCCTTCTCCATTCTCCTCTCAGGCTCTTAGGCACACATGCACACTCTCCCAGCTTGAGTTTAAGCCACCAGATTAGGGACTCAAACCCAGGTCTACTACATGGGAGTCCAGTGACATAGCCATTATGTCAACTGCTGGCCCCCAGTTTTTACATTTTTAGAATGGAAGCACTCTCATCTTTAACATATCTAGATAGCCATTTTGACAAAACTTGCTTTTCCAAGAGTCAACTTTCAACTTTTTCAAAGAGCAAATAAAATGTTATTGTTAGTACAGTAGAATTCAAATGGAAACTAAATTTCTGATATTTATTTTTATGTATGTATATTATATTTACTTGTCTTTCTCAACAAATTTGTTTTACATTTTTAATAATTTATTTTATTTTATTAATTATTATTATTATCCCTTTAGATTTTCTATATGGTGTGTGTACCACCAAAGAGGGACAGAGAACAAGAGAGACAGGCCCAGGATTCAAAACCTAGTCAACCATGTGAGAGTCCAGTGCCTTAACCATGATGCCACCTGCTGGTTCCAAGATTTAGTGTTTCTTTAAAATACAGATTTATTTATAAACCAAATAAGATATCCTGAGACTATATACATCAAAAGTGGTTCAGTGTTTTAAAAGTGGATCACTGTCCCCTCTTCCATGATTTTTGAACACAGTATAAGAAAAATTAAAATTAATTCTGTTATGATTAAGACAGGTCCAATAAATAACTGTAGACACCTATAGATCATCCATGCCAGTAAAAGAGCACAACTGCTCAGATGCTCCCAAAAGGGCCATTCTGACTTTACAATATTCTAACATTTCTTCGAATATTTTGTCCAACTTAATTCTGTTCATTCTAAGTTATGTTAAGGTTATATTGTGATTACTTTCCCTATTTTCTCTTCCCATCATTTTATAAAATCAAGGACAGGGGAAGACATGGTGAAGTCGAGGGGACAGAGAGGAGAAAGAGGGTGATGGGAAAAAGCCAGCCTCCAAGGGCAATTCACAGAGAAAACACAGAGTGGATCAATAATATACTACTAATAGAGAGCTCCCTTCAGAGAAAAACTTTTATTCTCTATATATAATCTTTTTCAGTATCCCAAAAATTATGCCTAAGCAGATGGCTTGGTGGTTAGGGTGACTGAGTTTCCACATGACCTACCACAGTTTGAGTTCTGGATCTGGAGGTTTGAAAACCATGCCAGACATGTGTGTGAGCACACCCAAAATCCTAAGAGGAGTCTTGAGAAGGGACTGTATGCAGCATGGCCATTTCCCTAGAAGGTGATTTTCACTTTTCTTCTGTCTTTCTTCTTTCTTGTAAGCACAATTGCTCTAAGGGGAAAAGCTAAAAACAAAAAAATTAAAAAAAATAAAAGAAACACTTCAGGGGTCAGAGGTGATGTGATGGTTAAGGAGCACTCCCATATGACTGACCACGGTTTGAATCTCAGACCTGTAATGTGGAAAATCATACCAGGCAGGAGTGTAAGCCTAGTGCCCAAATCACAGGAAGAGAATAGAGCAGAAGGGATTGTGCTGTGCCCATACCCCCTGGGGAACGATTTCTGTTTGTCTCTCAATATGTCTCTCTGGTGAAAGCATATGACATAGGGCAGAAGTATGTTTCAAAAAATAAAAAAAAGAAAATGCTTCCCAATGTCATCAGGTGCTTGTGAAGAATGTTTACCTGCCAGGGACAAATAGGCTGGTCAGCTTCTCCTGCAGATCCCATTTCTATTTTTTTGCAGATGCACCTTATAAAGAACTTGGGCCACCACATGCACAGCATGATAGATAAAATAGCTGGGGTCAGATATTGTCATCATGTCAAAACTAAATGGTAGAAACTCTATGGAAGAGTTTGGTTGGCAGTCTCCAAGTTTGCTTCATAGTGGCCCAGTAAGTGAGCAATTAAAAAAGTCAACCCAGAGATTACTGAAATAAAAATCTTCTGGGTATTGGAAAGGGTTGACTGTCTTGAGAAATTGTTTAAAGCCAGGAATATTCCTTTTCTGGGTTGAAAGAAAAAGGCTTCCATGGAAAGAGTATGGCATATAACTTAAAATATGCAAAACATCTTCCAAATATGAGCAGTGGAGATTTCTCGTGATCCATACATTTCCCAAAATTAAATAAGAGTTTTTTCCAAATCCCAAGCTCAGGATACTCCCTTCATCACCATGTATTATATACACATTTGCAGATGAAACTCTGATTCTCTTTACAATAAGGAAGTCATGATATAAAATGCCACCTTTTGTGGCAGGGAGCTTTTCTGTAAAGACCACACAGATATCCTTTTCTATCATCTTTGCCTTTACGTCCTGAAGGAACTGCTCCCCTTGCATATCATCAGATACATAGAGCGCCACCCACACCCAGCCAAAATGCAGCAATAAGCAGATGATTCCATAAGCCAGAGAGCTGTCCTTGGTGGCCATCTGATAAACTGATGGAAATTGGTCTTTATTATTAAGGATGAGATCAAAAGGACCATATGTAACCTGAATAAAAAATTAAAAAAAAAAACTCATACTTTTTTTTTTTTTAATAAAAACGTTAAATACCAGGTTGGGGTCATTTAACTAAAATTCAGACTTCTCAGGTTTTTTTGTTTGTTTTTAATTTTTACTAACATTAAGAGGTAGGGAGGGGTTATTTACAAAACTTCAGAGTAAGACAAATGAGTTAAAAAGATTTTTAAAAATTTTTAAAAAAAAATTAAACTAACCACCCTGAAGTTTCTGCATGTGAGGTTTAGATTCAATATTCAGCAAAATATGTGGCCTCCCAAGTACATCAGTCACCTATGTACAAGTGTCTTGTATACCATAGAACTGCAGGCAATCAGTTGATTAAAAATGAATTAGTATATGCTATGTGTAATAAACTTAAATTTACAAAGGCTTTCCCATGCAGGGATCTGATTCTGCTTCTAGAGAAGGGAGGAATCCTGATTAGCCATTTACCCATTGCAGACTACACCAGAGCATTTCTCAAGGCTGGTTGGATTTGCCACTGGGCCAGAGGTCACTGGGCACCTTTATAAATGTTACTCAGTTGATTCACTTCACACACTAGTGTTTTTTTAAATCCTAAAAATGGAAATGTTTTGCCTATTTGGTGACAGTTAAAAGAGAATGCAAAAATTTTACTCTGACCTAGTTCTCCTTGCAGTCAGAGCCACTCACCTTGGAAAGTATGAATTGACCTTCTTTTCTGTAAAGAAGATGAACTGTATTTTGCATTTTGTGTACTTGTAAGTGAATGTAACATACCGTCAATTTTCCTAGTTTGAATATACAATTGTAACACTATACAGTGTACATGTCCAGAACTGTGTGTATATATTCAGTGAACTTTTTGCAATCACACTTGGAACTGTATGTGTATTATTAATGCATCTGTATGTACTTATTCCTGAGCAATATTTTTTGCAATTCTTGTTTATATTGTATCCAAATAGGTGTGATTTTTATTTTGAAAAATATAGGATTTTTGAATCTGTCAAAAGATTAAAATAATCTGATTCTAAATTTAGTGTGGTTTTTTTTTAAATCCCTCTTAAACAGGGAGGAGCTAATTCTCTACCTGTTTAGACAATAGAATGGAATATTCCGTGAAGAGATTGCTTGCTGTGGAAATGATTCTATTTTGTCAATATGACCATTAGAAGACTGTTTTCAATCCCATTTTTTTTGAGAAAGGACATGTGACTAGTAGAGGTAACAATATCACTTCCAGGCCAAAGCATGAAAGAAAAACTATAAGATTCAATACATGCTTTATTGCCTACAGTGAAAACTGAGCTATGCATAAACTTTATAAAGATGGTGTAACAACATGTGGGTGATTCTGACTTCCTGGGCTGATGTGACAATGTGGATCAGAGGTTTCCTTCCCTCGATGCCAAATCTAAAATATTAAACTCTGAGAAAAAATATGTATTGAGTTTTTCATACTGTATCTTATCAACACAGCTTAAAATATATTGTCTTGAAAACAAGCTTATAACCTCTATGATATTTTTAAAATAATTTTTTCTACAACATAATTATTTTATGCTAATTATGTGTTTACCAGTAAAGTCTCCTGAAACCTTTTATAAGACAATTTCCCTGGAAGAATCTCTGAGGTGGAGATCTGTCATGCTGAGAGTAACTGGGAGTGCTTCCAAGAGATCCACCTGCATGGACGTGAGGAAGGGCAGAGGGATCTGGTAAACCTCACCTGGGGGAACTGAGTCATTTTGTGAGTTTAGAGGATCTCCAGTGTTGGAATATTATTTCTTTGTCCAAAGTGATAATGAATGCCAAGGTTTTTATATTTTTTTGTGTCTAATTGTCCTCTGAACACCCTCTAATATTATCTTGTCCTAAGATGGGATGGTTCCCTATATTGTGTGCACTTTTTAGAAAGCATCTTTAAAAGAATCATCAATATTCCCATTACTGGGGTTTGGATGTCATGGCCATGGAAAGAAATATGTGTGAAACTTAACAAATTTTACTTCTTTTTTATTTTTAATTTGTCATGGGCAAATTGAATTATGTGTGCTTGCCACAAAGAGATAAAGGGATAGTGAGAAATCACCCCTCATAAGAGATGGTCATACCAATATCCCTTCTATGTTGGGATTTTGGGCATGCAAGCACATATGCCCAGTGTATTCTTCAGGATACCAAAATCAAGACTTGTGCCATGCAGTCAGCCAAGTGAAATCCAGGCACATTAAACACCATATCACCAGCTGCCCTACTATAGCTCTTTTTCTTTCAAATACTTGTACTGTTAATAGTCCCATGATCCAGGAAAGAACCTGTCCCTTTTTTCCCTCTGTTTAAGAAAATTGTGTTCAAATAACCAAAAGAGGGCCTTTAGAGGTATGTAAACCGAGAGTCCATGTTTTCTTTGCTCAGATGTAAGAGGAGTACATTAGGAGCTATCTGATTCTCGTTCCTTAACCTGACAACCCACTTACCTGTGGACTTTCGTAGAGATCTAATAGGGTTCCAAGTGGGCTGAAAATGTTGGCATGTTTCCTGCAATAATAGCAACAGGATGTTTTCATAACTGGCAGTTGTAGTTTGGCAGGGACTGATACCCTCCAGTGAGCAAAAATATAGCACTTTCTAAAGTTCTTTTATCATTAGGAAATGCATTGTGGAAATCATAACCAAGAGAGTGGTTGGGGAGCAAATGGGGGCTCTTATTGATCTGCTCAATGGCAAAGTAAAAGGCCAATACATATTGGTAGTTCCTCCAACGGTACCTAAGCAGAGGGGACAGCATTAGGAAATACAGTCAAGTCATGCGATTTAGGGGAAATTTTGCAGCCAAGCCAAAAGACATAAAGTTATAGACTCAGGTTCCAATTAAGAGATTCTCCCACAATGGTACACAGAGCTAGTGTGAAGAATGTTCCCAGGGCTTTAGAAAACTTTGAATGTATTTTTCCTTCTGCTTAATCAAATCATGTCCAAACAATGAAGAGAGGCTTTGAAGGCCTTGTGTTGTGAGTGAGGTGTCATTTAGCTGGATGATGACAATGTTGTCTGAACAGAGATAACAGAATGATTTTATTTTATCTTTTTTATCCAATTAGATTATTTATTTGAATACATTTAGTAAACATGTATTGTACACCTAAAAGGTACACAAACTGTGGGTCATCTGCTAGCAAACAAACATTTAGATAAAAAAAATGCATTTTAGATTTTAAATTTTTTGAGTTTCAATTTTTACATTGTTTTACAAGGTAGGTTTCTTTTTTTTTGTTTCTTTTTTTCCTTTCACTTATTTATTTTTACATTTTTCCACAAACATTAACTTAATATAGCAAAAAATTTTAGCTCATACTCCATAATTCTTGACAGTTTGCAAACAACTTTCAAAATTTCAGAATACTGAATTTTAATGATAATGTTCAAAATATGTCTTATAATTTTGTATAATTTTATGACTCTATAACAATAGAAGCAGTATGGTTTCATATATATATATATATATATATATATATTTATTTATTTATTTATTTAGAGTGCAGACATTCAGTATATATTAAGTGGGGACATACAATGCCTCTCCTTCATAGCATGGCTTACTTCATTCAGCAATAAGTCTTCCACATTACTCCACTTCCTTTCCAACGCCAGGGTTTTGTTGTTTTTTAGGCATG